TTGCTGTTCTGCTTCTATTTCCTTTAGGTGTGCTGTTAGATTTTGTATTTGGGATTTTTCTTGTTTCTTGAGATAGGCCTGGATTGCAATGTATTTTCCTCTCAGGACTGCCTTCGCTGTGTCCCAAGCGTTTGGATTGTTGTATTTTCATTTTCGTTTGTTTCCATATATTTTTTAATTTCTTCTCGAATTGCCTGGTTGACCCACTCATTCGTTAGTAGGGTGTTCTTTAACCTCCATGCTTTTGGAGGTTTTCCAGACTTTTTTCTGTGGTTGATTTCAAGCTTCATAGCATTGTGGTCTGAAAGTATGCATGGTATGATTTCAATTCTTGTAAACTTATGAAGGGCTGTTTTGTGACCCAGTATATGATCTATCTTGGAGAATGTTCCATGTGCACTCGAGAAGAAAGTATATTCTGTTGCTTTGGGATGCAGAGTTCTAAATATATCTGTCAAGTCCATCTGCTCCAATGTCTCATTCAGGGCCCTTGTTTCTTTATTGACCATGTGTCTAGATGATCTATCCATTTCTGTAAGTGGGGTGTTAAAGTCCCCTGCAATGACCACATTCTTATCAATAAGGTTGCTTATGTTTATGAGCAATTGTTTTATATATTTGGGCGCTCCGGTATTCGGCGCTTAGACATTTATAATTGTTAGCTCTTCCTGATGGATAGACCCTGTCACTATTATATAATGTCCTTCTTCATCTCTTGTTACAGCCTTTAATTTAAAGTCTAGTTTGTCTGATATAAGTATGGCTACTCCAGCTTTCTTTTGGCTTCCAGTAGCATGATAAATAGTTCTCCATCCCCTCACTCTCAATCTAAAGGTGTCCTCAGGTCTAAAATGAGTCTCTTGTAGACAGCAAATAGATGGGTCTTGTTTTTTTATCCATTCTGATACCCTATGTCTTTTGGTTGGCGCATTTAATCCATTTACATTCAGTGTTATTATAGAAAGATATGGGTTTAGAGTCATTGTGATGTCTGTATGTTTTATGCTTGTAGTGATGTCTCTGGTACTTTGTCTCACAGGGTCCCCCTTAGGATCTCTTGGAGGGCTGGTTTAGTGGTGACAAATTCCTTCAGTTTTTGTTTGTTTGGGAAGACCTTTATCTCTCCTTCTATTCTAAATGACAGACTTGCTGGATAAAGGACTCTCGGCTGCATATTTTTTCTGTCTAGCACACTGAAAATCTCGTGCCAATTCTTTCTGGCCTGCCAAGTTTCAAAAGAGAGATCAGTCACAAGTCTTATAGGTCTCCCTTTATATGTGAGGGCACGTTTACCCCTTGCTGCTTTCAGAATTTTCTCTTTATCCTTGTATTTTGCCAGTTTCACTATGATATGTCGTGCAGAAGATCGATTCAAGTTACGTCTGAAGGGAGTTCTCTGTGCCTCTTGGATTTCAATGCCTTTTTCCTTCCCCACTTCAGGGAAGTTCTCAGCTATTATTTCTTCAAGTACCCCTTCAGCACCTTTCCCTCTCTCTTCCTCCTCTGGGATACCAATGATGCGTATATTATTTCTTTTTAGTGTATCACTTAGTTCTCTAATTTTCCCCTCATACTCCTGGATTTTTTTATCTCTCTTTTTCTCAGCTTCCTTTTTTTCCATAACTTTATCTTCTAGTTCACCTATTCTCTCCTCTGCCTCTTCAATCCGAGCCGTGGTGGTTTCCATTTTGTTATGCATTTCGTTTAAAGCGTTTTTCAGCTCCTCGTGACTGTTCCTTAGTCCCTTGATCTCTGTAGCAAGAGATTCTCTGCTGTCAGCTATACTGTTTTCAAGCCCAGCGATTAATTTTATGACTATTATTCTAAATTCACTTTCTGTTATATTATTTAAATCCTTTTTGATCAGCTCATTAGCTGTTGTTATTTCCTGGAGATTCTTCTGAGGGGAATTCTTCCGCTTGGTCATTTTGGATAGTCCCTGGCGTGGTGAGGACCTGCAGGGCACTTCCCCTGTGCTGTGGTGTATAACTGGAGTTGGTGGGCGGAGCCGCAGTCAGACCTGATGTCTGCCCCCAGCCCACCGCTGGGGCCACAGTCAGACTGGTGCGTGCCTTCTCTTCCCCTCTCCTAGGGGCGGGATTCACTGTGGGGTGGGGTGGCCTGTCTGGGCTACTTGCACACTGCCAGGCTTGTGATGCTGGGGATCTGGCGTCTTAGCTGGGGTGGGTAGGCAAGGTGCACAGGGGCAGGAGGGGCAGGCTTAGCTTGCTTCTCCTTAGGTGATCCACTTCAGGAGGGGCCCTGTGGCAGCAGCAGGGAGTCAGATCCGCTGCCGGAGGTTTGGCTCCCCAGAAGTGCAGAGTTGGGTGTTTGCGCGGAGCGAGCAAGTTCCCTGGCCGGAACTGGTTCTCTTTGGGATTTTGGCTGGGGGATGGGCGGGGAAGATGGCGCTGGCGAGCACCTTTGTTCCCCACCAAACTGAGCTCTGTCGTCCGGGGGCTCAGCAGCTTTCCTTCCCTTTGTCCTCCAGCCTTCCCGCTTTCTGAGCAGAGCTGTTAACTTATGACCTCCCAGCCGCTAAGTCCCGCTTGCTGTCAGAACACAGTCCGTCAGGCCCCTCCGCTTTTTGCAAGCCAGACTCGGGGGCTCTGCTTGGCCGGCGAGCCGCCCCTCCGCCCCGGCTCCCTCCCGCCAGTCCGTGGAGCGCACTGCCTCGCCGCCCTTCCTCCCCTCTTCCGTGGGCCTCTCGTCTGCGTTTGGCTCCGGCAGCTCCGTTCTGCTAATCCTCTGGTGGTTCTGGGTTATTTAGGCAGGTGTAGGTGGAATCTAAGTGATCAGCAGGACGCGCGGTGAGCCCAGCGTCCTCCTACGCCGCCATCTTCCCTCTCTCCTGTTTCATTTCATCTTTATGTCCCTGGCACATGGCCCCTCAGATATCCACCTATCTCCCTACCCCCAGTGTTCTATGCACACACATTGAGAAAGGTCTTTGAAGATACTGGGATTTGGGAAGAACTTTAAAGTATGGGTAGAATATTCATACGTCAAGGAGCATAAGAGTTACTACCTGAGCAAAAAAAGACCTGGCAAAATATGGAAACCAGAATGAGTATGACAGTCAGGGACTACAGAGGAGACAGACGAGCCAGAAGGAGAAAGAAATAGCATCCCAACACCTTTGATTTTGGAAGATGCTAAGATCATCTCATCTATATTTCACTTTGTGAAGCAAGAAAACACTGAAGCCCAGAGGAGTTTAAATAACTTACAGTGGTAGGCATTGGCATTGCTGAGATTACAACCCAGATTGCCCGACGCATACTGCAGTGCTCACTTGGGAAGGGACTGGAAGAAACGGCTGGGAAGTCAGTCTGAAATCACATGGTAGAGTTCTCCATATGCAAAATTCACTCTTTAAATAGTGAGGATCTCTCTTACCTGTGACCAGCAGTAAAGTGGGACCGGGATGAAATTCCATAGAGGGCCTCTTGGGGCACTATGATCAGGGATGGTGAGTCCACAGAGCAAGCCTCGTTGGTCAGCAAGCATGATTTTTGAGACACCATGGGTTAAAAAGTCTCAAACCAATGTAGAGCAAAACAGAACCCGGTTGTGTTGGTAAAGGAAGATGCAATGAGCTGATTGTTTGATTTAAGGGGATACTGCGTGGTGGCAAAGATAAGAGAATTTTCTCCACCCTGAAAACACCACACTGTACTGGTATTGTGCCCAATACTGACAGAAGGTTGAAAACTACACATCGTATTATGACTGCTACTTTGGTGTTTTGTTTTTTGTGCTTTTGATATTGCTATTACTCCCAGCATCTATCCCTTTGTGTTTAGGGCCAGGTATATGTTTAGTCTCATTTAAAAAAAATTGTTTATTTCTTTGCCAGAGAGAGACAAAGTGTGAGCGGGAGAGGGGCAGAGAGACAAGGAGACACAGAATCCAAAGCAGGCTCCAGGCTCTGAGCTGTCAGCACAGAGCCGGAACCACGAGATCACGAACCTGAGCTGAAGTCAGACGCTTAACCAACTGAATCACCCAGGCGCCCCTAGTCTCATTTTAAAATGGAGCTACACTTCACAGTCGTTTAAAAATGAATAACACTCAGTTTCTTGCCTCCCATTGCCTCATTTGTTACGCCTGACGCTGTCCTACCCCAAAACATGGAACCAGCACCTGATGTCCTCCCTAGGGGTACATAAATGTTGCTCATTTTTATTTGTCATCTAATAAGCAAAAGCCAGATTTGGAGGTGGAACCTTCAAAGTGCAGTTGCTTCATCCTGAGAAAATGTTGGTGTCTGTTTACATCCATATATTAATGGAATAATCTCCCAGATCAGTCAGAGTGCTCGAGACACAATCAATGATACATATGCCTCCATTGTTCTTAATTAGCTTCTGATTAAAATGTCTTCTCATGCTCTTCAAGCTTAATTGTTGTCATTGAGACCCATGAAAGTACTCTTGCGAAGATTTCTGCATTGAGAATTAGAGGCAGGGGATCTACAATGAAGCACCATGACCCCGGGAATGTCTTCTCTCTCTCCTAATTATAATCAGTCTCTGACTGCCATCATGCAAACTTGCAATACCCAGGTAATGGACTCCCTGAAACCCACTGTGACTGTAATATTTGGGTTCTTCAGGCAAAGCTGCCCTGCAGGGCCAGTCTTTGTGTTCAGCGGTGCTCAGCACTTCCATCCGGAAGTTTCTTCCATCAGTGGATGATATTTATTCTCCACTGGGATGGAAGCATGGCAGAGCAGAAGTTGAACCTGAATTCCAGCATGGTATTCCTTGCAGCAGACTTCAGGATCGCCTCCTCAACACCAATTCCACCCCTTAACCCGCTGTGCGACAGCACTGGTTTTCAGCCCTAGATGCACACCACAATTTGCCTGGGAAATATTTTCTAAGTCATTGGTCCTTAGGCCAGTTCTATCCACATCTTAACGCAGAAGTTAAGAGCCTAGAAGTCTGGAGCCTGCAGCCCGAGTCCTGGTCCTACACTGCAAACCCCGGCCCAGTATTTAAACTTGCAGCACCTCAATGTTTTCAAGGACAGACATGAGGTTAATAACAGTAACCATCTCGGGGAAACACGGTGAAAATTACAGAAGTAAATATTGGTAAAGTGCTTAGAACAGGGCTGGGCACATATGAACACAGTTTCAGTATTTGTTATGATGGTGATAAAGTTGATCTTGATCACAAGCATCGTGATGGACGAAATGGAGCTAAGTCTGGTCCAATCATGTCAGAAGCCTACCGTACCTCTGAAATGTTCATACTGAAGAATGAGCGAACACCTTGTTAAGTCTTTTTGAGCTTGGTTTTTCTATTATTTATAACTAGTATGCAACCAGTGCTTAGATGACAAGGCTGAGAAACCTGGGAGTTTCTCACATCTGCTGTATTTCTATAACTACAGGAAGACCAGTAGACTGTGACTCAGAAGAACTGAGTTCTAGTCCAAGTGCTACCTACTCTAAGGAACATATGATTTCAGAAGGCTTTGCAGCACTAATTGTAGAACATATGAGGGTCTGTGCTATTTACATCTGGTAACCCACCAGCTAAGACTCTTCACTGCTTAATTCTGTTTATTTAATAAATGAGGGAAGTAGTCTAAAAGAACTTAAAAGGGTGATCAAGCGTAAGGAGTCCGTGTTTTTATCATCTCCTGGAGGCAAAAGGGTAAGTTCACTCTTAGGATGAGAAAATTACCAGACCGGACTTTGTAGTGCACTGCACACAAGCTTCACTTACCTGGCAAAGGAGTTCGTTTCCCTGCCCCCTCCCTGAGGATGAATAGGAGGGAGGTGTTCAATGCTGCTAATTTTCAGAATGGAAACCAAGGCAACAAGAGAAAACAATACGAGAGATGTGCTGATTCTAGAGGGCTGATGAATACAGAAATTACCTGTCTTTGTTACAGGTTTGGAGCAAAGCCATTCTACAATTGATCTGTGCGTCTTGAGTGCCTTTATATACAACACCGAAATATTTTCTTAAATAGAAGAGACTCAAAAGTGACATTTTAAAAAGCGGCGACCGTCCCTTGCATCTGGTTTCCTCCGCTGCAGCTCGTCCAAGACTGGTGTGAGGAAATCTTAATGTGCACACAAGTGTTTTGGGCCACGGCCATGCGATATCCAAACATACACGTGATAAGTAAATTGTAGAGCAGAGAACACAAACTGACACCTTAGAGGTTTCACGTGGCTGATGGGTAGGTTTTGTTCAGGCTATAGTTTACTCATAAATTAGAAGCCAATCTTTATCTTTATTTTATTTGCATTCTTTTAAAGATTGTATTTTCATGTGATCTCCAAACCCGGCATGGGGCTCAAACTCACAACCCTGAGCTCAAGAGTCACACGCTCTACTGACTGAGTCAGCCAGGCGCCCCCAGAAGCCCATGTTTAAAAGCAGTAGTTTCCATATGAAAGTCCAGGTTTCTGATCTCTCTGGAAAAAAATGGGAACATCTGGCAACATAGGGCTGGCATTCCTGGGGCAACAATGGGCTAATACAGACTTGCAGCTGCCCTGAAGTTTTCCCAGATTGCTGTGGTCCTCACCCTAACACCAGCCGGACACGGAGGCTGGCAGGGTTCGGCATCCAGCTCCTGCTCTTATCTTCTCATACTGGGCCTGCTTCACTCGCTTCTACCGGTCATTGACCTTTATGGGTATCTGAGTTTGCAACCCCAGCTTGGCTTAAAGTTTGTCCATTTCCATGCTGATTATGCCCGAATTTTACTTTTTGAAAACTGAATGAAGATTTTACCCCAAACAGGGGTGAGGAGTGCTGGCTATATGGTGCCACGCAACTGGTTTAATGTGTTGGTTTTGAAAAATTTTCAGATGATGTGCTACAGACCCAGAAATGTTGTTGACTGTGTTATGAACTTCTGATAGGGACTGAGACCTCTGTGTGTCACAAAGAAATGACAGTTCTTCAGATTACCTACTGAGATGAATTGAGGAAGAGTTTTCTGGCATGGGTCTCAAATTGCTTTATAGATTAGCCTCAAGCCTTCTCTGCATTTCCTCATTTCCTTTATGGAGCTTAAGTCAGAAACAGCTTTTCCAGTACCATCTATTAGAAGCACATGAAATGTCAAGCCAGATTTATGGATTAAGAAATTGACATTAGATCATAATTCAGTTTAGAAGAGAAGAAACGAGAATGCCAAAGATGCCTTGGAGCCAATTCCATTGTGGTCACAACAGTAAAGAGAGAGCGTTAGCTTCTAAGTCAAAGCCCCTCCTCCCTTCACCCCTGCCCCTACTCTCATTTTAGCACACGTACCAATTACACAGATACTGCATATAAAATTGAAAAAAGAGATTTAAAATCTGCTTACCATTTCCATTTCTTTTTTCCAAGTAGCTGACCCTGGGCTTCTTCTCTCTGACCACCATTTTCTTTCTTCTTTCTTTTCTCCTAGTTCCTCACTTCCCCGCAATCTCCCTGCTTTCGTATGACTGTCTCTTTCACCAAATGGCGACTGCCCTGGTGGGAATACATCTTATTCATTGCTGTTCCCCTAATTCCACAGCAAGCTACTTGGTACTACAGAAACTCAAAACCTATTTGTAGTTCCGTAAACAATTGGGGACTTCTCGCACCTTAAGCCCTTTCTCTAATTCGAAGACATTTCATTTACTTCACCACCAAACCTGAACCTGGTGGTCAGCCATTTTAGTGAGTTCTTGCATTTCATTTTCTTCCGTCTCTCTTTGCCAACTTCCCAGACTGTCAGTGGTTACCAGGAAAAGTTGTGAAGACATATTCACTAGTTCTAAAAGTGAATACATGCTATAAAATAGTAACTGATCCTTCACGGGTTATTGTAATGAGCCCATTCAGTCAATTTGTGTTGACCTTGTTGACAGTGTATGTCTCCAGAATGCCCTAGAATCTTCAGTTTCCCCACCACTCCATTCAACCTCCTCAGTCTTATTAGGTGTCCTAATCCACCTTTGAAATTTAGCCAACCCAAACCAAGCTCCCTTAATTCCCTGTTTCTCTTTTCTAAATATCATTGCATTATGACTTCTCTTTGTTTTTCCGTGTGTCCTTCTTGTCATCTAATTGATTTACTTATTCATCGATTCCTTCCTATCCTATAATCCTTAGCATCTTTTTCTGGATCCTTCTCTCTCTCTTTCTGTTTCTCTGCCTCTGTCTCCGTGTCTCTCTTTTTCTCTTCTGCTTTAGTTCCTTGTTTGTTATGCTGCTTTCACCGACCGCTCATGTCTAAAGCTGTATCTATTAAGGTTAACAGTGATGTCACAACTGCCGAAGCCAAACTCTTTCTGAATCCAATTCCTCCAAAAAATTTGCATTATCAGCACTATTTTTATCACTTTCTTTTTAAGTTCTTTGTAACAATAACTTCCATGATTCCATCATGTTTTGGTTCTATTACTTTCTCAATTTCGTCTTACTCCCTCCCATTTTAGGCTTTTTCTTGCCCCACGCTCCCATTTACACAGACCCATAGTCAATTTTGATTCTTCCTTTTCCTTTGCACTCCTTGGCAAATAGTCCCCAAGTCATGAAGTGTTCCTCAGGGGATAAGACACACATTTAACTAGCCATGTTGTGATCTAGTTCTCAATTGGGACATTTCAATCTCTTTCAGGGCCCTCAGATATTCTAGAAGTATACTCAGGAAAACCTCCAGTAAGTAAGAGATTAAAATCAAGAACGCAGCTGAAGCTGTAAAATCACAAAAAGAGTTCAGCATTTGACGTATGACAGGTGAGATGGTATCTGACGCAGGCTTATCTTTTGCCTCTACTTCCCAAAAGGGATTTAGTCCAGAGGAAACTCATTCCTTATGGCCAGCTTCCCCTTCATTCCCTTCCTACTGAGAGGAGAGAAGGGAGAAATGATTTCTATGTAACTATGGGAATGATTCTTAGTAGCAAGTGACAGAAATAAAACCCAAACAGGCTTAGGCTAAAGTAGGGGGATTTATTGGCAAGAATAATTAAACTTGGGAAGGGAGGCAGTGACCTTAGGACAACCAGAACAATTGAATCACATAGCAGTGTTCTTTATCCCTTGGCAATACTTCTCTTTCACTTCAGTTATGTTCTCTTTGGTCACCTTTATCCATGACATTTGAATCATGGCAACTGGAGGTCTGGCTTCACATATTTTTATTGTATCCAACAGGGAGAGGATGAGTTTTTCCTCTGCTCCAATTTAAAAAAATAGGAAAGGCTTTACTGGATGAATTTGGGTGATACACTAATTCTCACAACAGTCAGGTTGGTTGGGTATAGAGGGTCATATGGGAAGCTGGCAGCTCTCATTCGCATGGATTCATAAGATCCCTCAAGCCAAAATCAGTCTAGTCCCAGTATGTGATCCCTATTTTAGTAGAATGGCCATTCAGACTAAGATTTGCTCTCACATTTTAAGTGTATTTTCTTTTAGCCAGAACAGTTTGATTTTAGCTTCTATTGGAGTTCACAAATTTGAATTTTTCTAGTTTAAAACATTGATACTTCCTGCATTTGTCGCCACTGGGTTGGGAGAGAAGGGTTAAGTACAGCCCTTCACTAACCTCAGAACCTCAGAAATCAAAATTACTTTGGTATAATTCACCAAATGGATTATATGACAATGGCATTGTGTGCGGTGCACAGGTAATAGAACGCTTTCATGAAACTCTCAGAATCTCCCATCAGGGCTCCACTGATGCTCCATTAACATGGAGGTCAGGATCTCTTCAGTCCTGCAGAAGAGTGCAGGTGTAAAATCAGAATGCCATCATTCTGCTATCTCTATCAGTGTCGTAGACATTGGCATTGACACCTTCTTCCAACATTCTTACTCCTTAGAGACCACCAGAAACTCCTGGTCCTCCCTCCGCTAAGACTTTTTTTCTGGATTTGAGGTCAGGACTATGAAATAGGTGAAAGAATATCTTTGTCTCTCAGTCTAAATCCCCCACGAAGTATTCATTCCTAGAATACAGCTCACCGTATGTAACATCTAAATAATTACGAATTATTCCAAAGACTTGGATAATACACTCATAAGTCTAAGATCCTGTTTTGACAATCCTTTGTCAGCAAAATCCTGAAGGGAGAAAAAAATTCAGACTAATATATTATGAGTAACTCTATGTGTCTGAGAATAGATGTAATGGAAAGTTCAGGCAGCCAAACAATCAAATACAGAGACGGCTGCCAGAGACCTCCCCACTGCTCTCAAACCGAAATCCTCTCTTTTGGGTGATGTGATTGAAAACAATTTTCTGTGTAAGACACAAAAATCACAGTCGAGAAATAAAAATAAGGGGTTACGGAATCAGAAAATTCCTTCCATTCCATCTAAAAACAGAAAGGCTGCCAGAAATCAAAGCTTGGAACAGACTGACACAGACCCTGATTCCTGAATTCAGCCTGCCTTAGCTACTGCGGCAGCTTTTTTTTTTTTTTTAATTGGATACTCAAGGTCACTAGTTGCAGAATCAGTAATTGGTGAATCTACGGTGTTAAACACAAATGAGTAACAGTCCGTTCTGTAACCATGACTGCTTTGGTAAGAAACTGCCGTTAGTGCCTTCAGTATCCCAAACAAAAATAATAATACTAACGAATCTGCTGAGTACTGATGGGAAGAACATAATATGCATTTCCACAGAAATGTCTTGTAATTTAGGATTAATTAATGTCCAATTATTGTAAGCTGTTACTAATAAATTTTAAAAGTCAGCTCTGCACTTCCATTTTGTAATGTTTTTATAAAATGGAACATTAGATGTTTTTAATCTTGTCTGTTCTTGCAAAATACCCCAGATAACATGCTGTTTTGCATTTCAAATAATACATACTCATTTAAATGCAAAACCAGGGTCCAATCAGAATAAGATGGCAATCAAATTACAATATTCAATGAAGAGTTTTCCAAGCTGACTTCATTAGTAAACTATCATGAATTTCAAGATCTTACAAGGTTTCTATTTGTTTGTACAACTGCAAAGGGCTCAATTATGAAGCTTTGAGCAAGTCTAAAAATAACATCAGACTAATTAAAAGTTTCAGCCGGATTTGGGCTAGTACTGTTTTGAAACTCTAATCTGTTTGACTTTCCAAATGGACTTTGGAAACTGAAACTCTGTTTTTAAAATGTTCAAGTAGAAACAACTAGGGGGATGGGCAGTGGCAAGTGGGGGAAGGAATCCCCAGCCTCCCTCTTCCTGGTACCTAGACAACAGATACAGCAGGGCAGCTCTGTGTGTACAGACCAGACCGGTCAAGGGTGCTGCTCCCCTGCCCTCCTGGGCTCTCAAGGGGACTCAGCTCATTTTCTGGCATTGTTGTGCTTGCTAAAAACTAGCTGGGAGAGCCTATAGCTTGAAGTTGCTGAATCTTCAAAAACCTCAGGCAAGAGGTGCAGTCTTTGAAGTCATTTTCCCTTTGGGAGGCAAGATCCAGGTAATCAGGAAATGCTCAGGAGGTCGGGCTCTTATGATAATGTTCTGCCAGTGCAGTTGCGGCTCAGGATGTTCCATCATGTGGATCACCGAACTTTGTGGAAACTCACAGCAGGGCTTCTGCCTCAACAGGTGCTCTCTTTGAGGAACAGGGCAGTGACAGGGTGGGGGACTGAACGCATCCAGAGGGCTGAAACTCTTCCCCATTCCTCAGAGAGTTCAGTACTGTGGCTCACTGAAAGTGTTTTTTATTTTGTTCTTTTTCTTCTTTATTTTGTTTTTTTTTTTTTTTTTTTTTTTTTAATACCAGAGAGTCGGGCTCTCCTGAGATTCTCTATAAGAGAGCAGGTAAAATGTTAAGAAATTATTGTCTTTGTGGAAATGCTAATTTCTCACTCTAAGGAATCGCAGAAATGAATTTCACTGATTTCCAGGCTTCCAAAGTTGTACGAACACTACATTTATTAAACTCTTATTCTGGTGGTTATATAGGTATCAGAACATCTGTCACTGCCACTGCAAAACATTACAGGAAGCTAACAGCTGGAGGAAGGGCATGGCTTTATAATTTGGTTTTATGTTGTGCCTGTTAATGCAGAAGCCACTATGGTTTGGGTTTATGTTCTTATGCCATTTAAATGAACAAAAGAGAGATGGTGACCAAGGGGACAACATCATCATTAAACTGAGAAGGCAAATTTGCCTCTCATATCTTCAACGTAGTAGTCATAAGCCTCATCTCAGAAGTTGCATTTCCTTTAGAGGACTTCCTTTACAGTTAAGTATTTTTAAGGGCAATAACCCATGAATAAAATATCTATGAGTGAGGCAACTCTAAACTCTATAAAGCGAACTCAATTATCTATGCAAATCAGAGCATGGGTTGCATCAATCAAAAACTCCAAAAGCTAATCCCTGAGTTTAAATGTAGCTACTAATTTCTACTTTTTATCTCCTCTTTTCAACAAACCCTCTTTTTTTCATTCTAACCCGAGCTGCAGCTAAACGACAAAGTGGACCAGCTTGAATTTCATCTCACCGTTTCTTTCCATCCCTAAAGGAATATCTGATGAATGGAAATGGCCAAAGGATGGGAAGCAAAAGAACTAGAAATCCCACCAGCTGACTAATCAAACCTTGAAGAATACAGTATTGGGTGAATGCATATGACTTCTCATTTTCATCAGACTCATATCAACAGTTAGCGAATTCCAATCTTAAGGCTATTCAGAATCCTAACAGAAATTAGTTGGTAGTCAGATTTCATTTGTATAGCGTTTTCCATGTGACTGAATTTGTACAATGTGACTGAGTACAGTCTGGAAGAGTCTTTACAAAAGAAGATATCTCTAAGTATGAAAAAGGACTAGATGATCCAAGAAAGTTATAGAGTGCTGTAAGAAGCACAGAAGTTTCTTAAAACGTAGCGAGATCCAACGGAGATTGTTTGCAGTAGTGGGAGGGGGAAAAATGCCATTAAAGTTTAATAGAGTAACAAAGATGAGGTAGGAAAGAGATGCTAAATTATTTCTACCAAAGGGAGATTGGAAAGCAGGTGAAGAAACACCATTACTTTGTACAAGTATGAGACATGGGGTAACGTATGAGTCCATCTATAAATTTAACAGAGCAACTCCAGTCGGTCTTACCCACGTCATATTCCCTTGTAATACTTAAAACTTGAGACTGCCTTATGTTTTTTTTTAATTTTTTTATGTTTTTATTTTATTTTTTAGAGAGAGTGTGAGTGGGGTAGGGGCATAGGGAGAGGGAGACACAGGATCCAAAGCAGACTCCAGGCTCTGAGCGGTCAGTACAGATCCTGATGCAGGGCTCGAACTAAAGGACTATGAGATCATGACCTGCACCAAAGTCAGACGCTTAACTGGCTGAGCTACCCAGGCACCCCAGAGACTACCTTATGTTTATGTAGCAATATCTGTGGGAGTTATAAGATGAATTATTTTACCAAATAATTTCTGTTTTTATTTATTTTTATTTTCTTAAGGTTTTTTTTATTTATTTTGAGAGTGAGAGAGCATGAGCAAGCAGGGGAGGGACAGAGAGGGAGAGAAAGAGCAGGGGAGGGGCAGAGAGGGAGAGAGAGAGAGAATCCCAAGTAGGCTCCACACTGGCAGCATGGAGCCTGATGTGGGGCTCGAACTCACGAGCTGTGAGATCATGACCTGAGCTGAAACCGAGAGTCAGATGCTCAACCGACTGAGCCTCCCAGGTGCCCAAAATAATTCCTATTTTGAAAGAAAGACTGCTCTGTTTATCTTTTGAACATTTAAACTTCTTTCAACCATAAATGGAGAACAGATTTTAAACACACTTACACAGTGGTTTTCTGATGGCGGTTTACCTGTCCTTTTCTAAGAAAAACAACTATCAGGATGAAGTAGGGATCATAAATGAAGATAACTCATACTTTTAGAAAAGAAGTGGCAAATAGAGAAATTAACTCAGCTTCTCAACAGAAGATGTAGACTAAGTGCCCATCCTCAGAAACAGCTTTGCTCTAACTAGAGAAAAAGATGCTCACATGAACATAATAAATATCTGGGTTTTGTTTTGTTTTGTTTCTTTTAAATACTGCCTGGTACCCTCATGCCTTTTCTAACAAAACCTTAGGATCTTTTGTTGGAGTTCTCTCTTTCCCAATGAAAATTGTGAGAACCTCATTTACCTGCCCAAAAGGTAGGTATATGACCCAAGCTAGGCCAGAAGAAAGTTTATGCCTTGGAATCTCATGAGGGCAACATGATAAAGACACAGAAAATGTTTGGACTTCTATTCTATCTGAGAGCCAGCCTTTAGGTCAGACTCGCCGTACTGGAGACCAGTATCGTGGTTCCTGCTCTGTTATTTCTGGCCCTGCCTTGGTTCTGTCCTAGCTCTTCGGGCTCCTATTTATTTTCTGAGCTCACTATATCTGTCCAGTAAATTTCGTTTTGTTAAAGCTAGCCAGAGTCCATTTCTGTGGCTTTCAACACAAGAATTATGACATATGGAATCTTTAAGGCAGCTTAGAAATGGGGAGGACGTAAGATGTGGAGTGAAAAAGAAAGGATCAGTGTCAATAACAGAAAATTTTAAATCAGACCATTAAAAAAAGGAAAGCTGCTGGTTGTCGGTCCTCGGACTCACGAGGGAGTTGTAGGAGCTAAAAGTGATGCCGAGGAGACCGTATCCCCCCTAAGGGATGCTTCCCTTAATACATACGTCTGACAACCACTTCTGTCCTCAGAGAATGCTCTCTGTGAAGGCCTTAGACCAATGGTCCTCAATTTTGTTTTTCCACCCCACGAGAAGGATGAGAGATGGGCTCCTCAGCAGTCATGTCCCCTGGCAGCAGGGATTCTGAGTTCTGGAGGCTGATCAGAAAGGGTGAGGGGGCTGGAAGAGCCCTTTGGGTAATCTGAATACTTTTCTCCCCAACACCTGTCAGCTTTAAAAGACAACGGTGCTTTTGATGTTAATAGACAAGTTGGAATAAATTGGAAAAGCAGGATTAAGTACTGTTTTTTTAAAAAGCCACAAAAATACACCAGCAATACAATATAGGGACATCACATCCAAAAACAATTTAGTGAGAAGTTTGTTCAGCCTCATTATTTTAAGGCTGAAGACACTGAGGCACAAATAGATAGAACTTTCTCAGGGTGCTAGAGCCAGTCTGTTAAGGCAGGACTTAGGACTCATGGTCCCCAAGGCATGGCCCCTTCCACTCAGACACCCTACGTTCCTATTGTAATTTTTCTCCAAATAATATTATGAATAGTTCTAGTTCTTAATGTTAAAATATGATTGGCTACTTACTTGTCAAATATCCATCATCCATTTAGGTCTTTTTTACAAATAAAAATCACCAGGGCATGAAATACTAAGTTTTAGAACAAAATCAGAGGCTCACATTCCTTTGTGTCTATTGTTTTTGTTTTTGTTTCTGTTTTTTTTGCCAAAAAAAACAAAAAAAATCACCAGCAAACTTCTCTGTATGTGACAATTACTGACAAAACATTCAGCAACACATCTGTGCATAAATTGAGGTACAGTTTTAATATAAAGAATGAACGCCAATCCACATTCAAGAATATCACTTCAGGCATATGATATGTTTTTGCCCAGGGTACATTTAAGTTAAAAACCCAGTTTCATTCTGCAGTTATAACTTGGAAATAGTGCTCTACAAATTGTGTGGAGAAGTCAAGCTGTGAGGTTCTTTATAGCTGAACTACTGTTACCTTTCTGGGTTAAGAATTAAGGGAAGGCTCACAGTTCCTACCAACCTAGACCTGCTTCTACCTTCAGCTGACAATGAAATCTTCTGTCCGGGCCTAAACGAAGGAGAGGAGAAGGATGTGTTCTGCTAAAACTACCTGTACCAGGCACTGTCGCTGTCACCAGTTTCTGCATTCCACCATCACCCGGAGTTATTCTGTGCACATACGGAATTAACATTCTGATTTAAGATGCAAGGAAATGTTGGCAAAATGCGTTTCAGGAAGAGGATTGCAAGTGCAAAGCCAGTGAGGTGAGAAAGTGGGGAAAAGGAGCTACAAGTGATAAAGTGAAATGGTATCAGGAAGAAACAACTGGACAAATCTAGAAGGTAGAACATTATAGCAACTAGACCACTCTCTTCAATATGATTTTAAACCAAAGAGGAGCTACTCTTCTAGGTTAAAATATACCTTGAAGACAACAACAAAATGGGAAAACTTGGCATTTTTTGTATTTTTGTTGTAACAAATATCTTCTTGTGCCACGAAACAAAGATGTGTTCAAAACCCAAGAGAGATGTGTCACAAGGAGATAGAGTCAACTTGAAAGCACCCCTGCTTGTGAAATTTGAGACAATTTGAATATCCAAATGAATAATGACAGAAATGTATTAGAATAAGTGAATAAAATGAATTCATGAGTCCACTCTAACAGAAAAAAAAAAACGGGAAAGGAAAGTTCTTTTTGGAAGAAAAATTGCAACTAATATATGTATACATATGTACATATATACATACATAAAATAATATATGTAATATATAATAATAAATATATATATACTTAATATATATGTATATATTTCAATCACCGTATTATACCTACCACCATAATAATTGATTCTGACAAGGATGGTCCATGAGCTATAACCAATCAGTGAAAGGTTGTTGAGGAACATGATAGTTATACAGTATCAAACTATCAGCTAAAAGGTAGCCTATTAATTGCAAAAAAATGAAAAGTATTTTTCAATGATGAAATCTGGAAGATACCACTTTAACCAAATAGTCAAATATAACATTCTCAGTAATGAAACAGGCTGACAAGCTTGCTGATGTGACAAACTGAGAAGGACATATCACCCACATGGTGATCCTGCCAGAAATATTTAACCTGAATCTAATTATGAAGAAACCATCAGACAAATTCCAAATGAGGGACATTCTGCAGAGCAACTGCACTTTAAGAAGATTAATATCCTGAAAGATCTAAAACAAAAGTTAACTATTCTAGATTAAAGAGACTTGACAACTAAAAACAAACAAACAAAGAATATTACTTCGAATAGACTTCAGATGCCCCTTGAGATAAGAAAACACCAAAAATATCTGCATTTGAAATTGACTTCAGTAAATGTCAGACCATCCAATATTTTATTTCCCACGAAAATCACTCTTTCATTTTTGTAAAAGTGGAAGCACTTGTGCCATTTTGGGCAGTCTGAATACTTTTATTCTGAATAATCTTTTGTTCCTCCATATTTTTTTTTTAATAGAGACTTGGCTGATAGAGTTATCAAGCTGTAGCCATTGTATGCCTTCCTATTTGGTTTTTGTCTATTACTCATCATTCACTGATGATACAAACAGATTTGTCTTTTGAGTGAAATTCCTTTTTTTTACAGTTCATAATTCATGAAGAACATGGCTTTCTGTGATAAAGACCCATCAAAAGCATCATTATTCTGCATTTATCTGCATTGAACTGCCTGTTTCATCTATTAGTATTTAAAAGGTTCTGCTGCTTCTCTGTATCTGGTTATAGTCCTCTAATTCATCTCATCTCTATTATCTGTCGGGATAAGGCTTTGACTTAGAGTGTGGGTCAAAAAAAAAATCACATTATTCAAATTATCTCTGACATTCAAAATACAAAAATATTCCCATGCAATGTTATTATTATTACTCTTATTATTATTTTGGTGAAGATGGCAAATGAATATCATTTAGCACTTCTGATACTGATCTAATCTTTTATACCTATTGTCTCTGGTAATATGTTGCTTATACAAGATGTACTGAAACAAAGGATTTGTCCTTTGGTTCTTGAGTCCTTGTGTTCTCCGTTAATGGGGTTCCACATGCTTTATTTTTCAAAACTCCTCAAGTTGCTTCACAGAATTATAAATGTTTAGCTGATCCCATTTCTGAACACTGGCCATTGTAATCTGCATATTAAAAACCATATGAATAAAAGGAGTTGGAAAGGGGGTATAGAATTAAAAATAAAGCTATATACAGGGTGGGGAAAAGACAACTTGGTCCGGAGATTGACCAAGGCAAATGACCAAGAATCTTTCAGGTTCTCAGAGATCTTCACAGACTCCTACTTATTGGAGTTTAAAATCTGGTCTAGGGGCATCTGGGTGGCTCAGTTGCTTAAGCCTCTGACTTTGGCTCAGGTCATGATCTCGTGGTTCACAAGTTTGACCCCCATGTCAGGCTCTGAGCTTTCAGCATTCTACTTCAGATTCTCTGTGGGGGCGGGGGCCCCCCCCCACTTGCTCTCTGTCTCTCTTTGTGTCAAAAATAAATGAAACTTAAAAAAATTTAAATCTGGTCTATGCCGGGGTGATTTTAAAATCCGATGCTCAAGCATGGCATGAAGATGAACATTGCATATTTTTATTTCTTTTCATGCCATTAATGGCTGCACATGTACACTGAGTGCTTCTGGCTAGTAACTTGATTTCTGCCTTCCCTGACCTCCTAACTTTGGTTCATTGGTGCTAATTTCACCTTATGGCTTGCATAGTATTTACAAAATTCCCAGGAAATGATAGGATTCAGAGTTTAGCTTTTTTTTTTTTGTTAATAAAGCTTTAAGTGAGAAGAGTACAGGAATCCCAAAGGAACCTTCAGACACATTTAATTTCTCTACTTGTGGTAGGGCAATGCCTAGACCATGCCTGAAAGTCAGCAGTCAGTCTTCCTTTTAGAAACCATAAAAAAGGAAGGTAAATTACACATCATACTTTGGTGACTTGTTTTAGACTATCTCAGTCCTCTCAGGATGCCTGGGTGGCTCAGCTGGGTGAGCATCCAGCTCTTGATTTCAGTTCACGTCATGATCTCACAGTTCATGAGATCAAGCCCCATGTCAGGCTCTGCACTGACAGCAGAGGCTGCTTGGGATTCTCTCTCACCCTTGCTCTCTGCCTCGCCCTCTCTTGTGCTCGCTCGCTCTCTCTCTCTCAAAAATAAATAAACATTAAAAAAGAGAATATCTCCATCCTATAGAAATCCCGAGTCTTATCAAACAAAATTTGTGTCACACCTAACAATTTTCCTATCAAACAACCTAGTATGTATTTATTTTTTAACGTTTATCATTGAGAGACAGAGAGAGACAGAGCATGAGCAGGGGAGGGGGAGAGAGAGAGGGAGACACAGAATCCGAAGCAGGCTCCAGGCTCTGAGCTGTCAGCACCGAGCCCGATGTGGGGCTTGAACCATAAACCGTGAGATCATGACCTGATCCAAAGTTAGACGCCCAACCCACTGAGCCATCCAGGCGCCCCAGCTAGTATTTTTTCAAATACAAAACAGGTACCATATTCATCATGATGCAATCGAGACAGCCTTGAAATCAGATTCTGAAGACTTGAGCCATGGCCACTTCCAAGCTATGGGCCTATTTCAAGGTATTGAACTTCTGTGAGTCTGGATTTCTTGATCTGAGAGAATTATCGCAGAGTAATTTGTTAAATAAATTCACTACTTTAAATGTACCACCCTAACTACTTTCACCTAATACAATAACAAACTCAAGACCTGCTAAGTAAAGGGTCTTTTCCTAGGTAATGTGAAAAAGAGGCATATACTCTAGTCTCTGCCAGGAAGGAGCTGAGCACTTAGTAGAGAGAAAAGATATCCAGAAAATGTGACCCGATCAATAAGATAACCTATGTCACATCTTAAATCATGAGTGCAAGACGTAAGTTCTACTGAAATTCAGATGAGGGATATTTAATGTTTGTTGGAGTAGACAGGAAGTCAGCGTATTCATAAAGACTGGTGTATGAGGCTTATGAAAAGAATGGAAGACCCAATTGAAGTTCACTCCTTAAACACAGTATTTTGGACTGAACAGAACTTAATTGGGAATAAAATGAAACTTCTTATTTCCTTTCGTTGAAAGAAATGACATCACCCATTTACTCATTCAACAAATAATGACAGTTTCTCTACGAAGTGCCAGATTAAAGGAATATAAATTAGTTGTGTTTTGAAAGACTCTTGTGGTTAAGTGGAAAGAAACTGAAACTGAGATAAATCAAATGATTTTCTCAGTTGAACCAAATGAGAAATAGCACAGCCAGCATCCCAAATAAGTTGTGACTGGTTCTACATATTATTTCTGTCCTGCACCTCACATTCATTCCCAAATTCCACTTTGTTCCTCTTACACACGCACATGCACACACACACACATACACACACACACACGAACATGCATGTAGCATGACAGTGTTTAATACTAAACTATGCATTTTTTAAAAATTCATTCTCCTACTTTTATCCTCACCATTCAAGAAAGAAGAGCTTAGACAGTGAACTGAGACCAAAGATAATGCAAACACACACACACACACACACACACACACACACACACATACACACACATATACACGCATACAAACAGTCAATTTATTGGATTTTTAAAATTTAGATAGCTTTTGAAAATCTCTAGCAGAGGTAATGATGTTGAAAGTCATGGCTTTTATTCTCAAGAGCCAAGCACTTGAGGAAAAAAAGTTTTCTGTTTTTATCTTCCTCTTTCAAACACTCAGTGTTGTATATTAAGAAACAATTGAAAATTCAGAGCATGGGTTTGTAAGTAAAACCAATGTTTCTCAAAGCATGGTCTGCAGACCATGTGTTTCAGAAGCATCTAGAGTATGTCATAAAATTTCAGGTAGTGAAGTCCTATCCCGAGCCTTCAAGGACAAGGGCAAGAATGTGAATTTTAACAAGCAGCTTAATTCTCCTTGTCCATGATAAATTTTGAGTGGCTCCTCTTAGGCTATGTTATAGAGAAGACACAATAAAAGTTATTGTTTTCCTCTTCAAATAGAGATACATGTGTGGTAAGCAGGAAAGAATGAGAGAATTGGGGGGCATGACTCGTGTAGATGATGGAGGGTCCCTGAGAAGGGTGCAGAACTCCATTTCCACCAACCCAGGGGAGGTGGTGGGATCACAGAAACACCCCTTAGAAACCTCAGTACCTTTGGGAAAGCTGCAAAGCAGATAGGACCAAAGCACAGTCTAACTTCCAGATTGTCTCTCCTCCAGGAGACTGCAAACCTTGTACTGTGCCCCAGTATCCTCTCACTCCAGAATAATAGAAGGTCACCAGCGAGAGGAGGCATCTAGGGATGTGCCTTGGTGAAACCTCACAAATCCTGTGGACCCGACCCCAGGGGTTGTCTTCAGAAGGTGTAGTCATGCCCCAGAGAGTGAGCAGTCAGTAAAATGCAAGTAGAGTCACCAAGTGTTACTGGTTGAATCGTGTCCTCCCTCCCAAAAAAGATCTGTTGGAGGCTTAACCCATTATTAAGACTTGTAGATAGACCTCACTTGTAGATAGGATCATTACAAAGGTAATCAAGTTAAAATGAGAGTGGGCGCTAGTCCCTTATGATAGGTTTCCTCAGAAAAGGGGGGGGGGGGTTGGATGTACAGACAGACTTGCCTGGGGGAAAACAATATGAAGAGACACAGAGAGAAGATGGCCATCTACGAACCAAGGCCAGGGGCCTGGAACAGATCCTTCCCTACAGCCCTCAGGAAGAACCAGAGCCACCAATACCTTGGTTTCAGACTTCTAGCCTCAAGCATCCTGTGGAAATGGGACTTAGAGAGTTTGCAGTTTTCCAGAGAAAAAACAGCCCTGCAGTCACACCATGATTCTCTGTGTTCTCACATCCTCTCAAATTTACTCAGGGTTTCCACTGGTCCTTCTGTCATCTAAGGACACAACTGGTGAATAGTATGGGCCAGAGATTAAAGCCCAAGGCCAGGTGGAAAGCACTACACCTCGGCTAAAGGCAGACAGGAGCAAGCCTGGTGTACAAATTCAGTATCTCTCAGGTGCTCCGGAAGTCCCTCAATCCTTCTGCTCTGTCCATGGGGGGAGTGGAGTGGAGCAGGGAGGGAATCCTAAACTGAAAGAGTAGTTTCCAAAATACTGCTTCTAACAAGACAAGTGACTGAGGTACCTCAGATTGGCAGTCACTGTCACCAAATTGGAACTTGAGAGCTTAGCCAGGTACAAAGAAACAAGGGGAGATATTTTTTTTTTCCATAGCCAAGTTTGTAAAGGTGTAAGTGCATGTGTTATTTTTATTTCAGCAAATACGCTTGGTACCTAAGTCAAGGTGGAGAAGACAGGGATGAGTATCTCCAGTGACTGACTGACACAGATCAACAAACAGGATCATCATCAAGACTGTGTCCAGGTCACATGATTAGCAGCTGGTGAGTAGGGATCAATCCCATGTGCGTTTGCCTTTGTTGTCTGCCTTTTATTCACTAGGCCTTAAGAACTTTTGAATCGAATAATAAGATAGGTATTGAATTGTAATAAATAATTCCATACATGTCATAAGAAATGCAGGAATAGAGTGCGGTAGGGGCAAGGAACGGGGAGTCACTACTGCCAAAGGGCTCAGGCAATGTTATATAGCAAAGTAATTTTTTTAGCTTGTTTGAGCTAGGGTAAGTTTTGGAAGCAATGATTGGAAAGGAAGTTGTTCGGGGGAAGGAAATCCTCTGCCAAGCCTGGCTTTATAAAAGGTTTTGGCTTGTGCAAAGAAGGTTGAAAAGCTGGGCTGCCCAACCACAGCACGGATCTGCCAGGGAACAGGTCCACCCTGGGAAGGCGGGCCGAGCCAGAATGGGAAGGCAATGCAGAGTCATGCAATTTTATAAATACAGAAATACTCGTGATCGGATTTGTGTTCAGAAAGAACTAACATAGGGGAGAATGGAAAGTAGACCGGGAGAGGCAAACATAGGGAAGGAAGACCCAAGAAGGGGAGTCCCTTTGCAGTGATCCAGGAGAACCATGATAAGGCCACCGAGGGCAAGGTACAGATTTTGCAGTCCTTCTTGCAATGGAATTACCAGAAGTTGGTGGGTAATGGTATGTCTGGAGTGCAAATGAATGCATTATTTGAGAATGTTGAGGTCTTTATTTTGTGCAACAGGTGGATTGGGATGATTGTTAACAGGACAGGAAATCAGGGCAAAGCCTCCCTGCGGTGGCCATCAGTACTTATATGAGCTCCTGCAGGAGGAATTGTATGCAGGGAGATGAAAGCTAGCCAAGAGGCAGTGGCCAGAAGGAGAGCAACATTTAACAGCTTAAGTATAATGGAACTCTTGGCATGTCTTCGCTCAGACTTTGAGCCATTTTTTTTTCTTCAAATAAATGCCCTAAATACTCAAGAAATGTAAGGTTTTAATGGAAAGACCTCTGACGTAGTTAGCTTCTAGTGCCAAATTTGCCACTAATTAATTATGTGGCCTTTGGCATGTCACTTAATCTAACTTAGACTTGTCATCCTCATCCCTAAAACTAGATCTCCAAGGTCTCTCCTTTTTGCTTTCAAATGCAGTGATTCTTACGGGTTTCTTTGAATTAGAGGATTTTAAGTGAAGCATATCATGGGCTATTGTGCCAGATGCTTCCCAAATATTAGTGGTGGGAAGAAACATTGTAATGGTAATTCTAACTTCGTGACTGCAGAACTTTCAGGCTTTTGCACCTCAAAGTCATCAGTAATTAGGCCTGGGCATTTCTCTTTCTTTCTGCTTCTACTGAGAACAAATTCTATAGGCTAGAAAGACGATGCAACACACTGGGGATCTGAGAAAAATTATCAGGACTAGGTGGAAATTTTCCCCAATCATCACTGCAGTGTATTAATATAATGGTCATCATTAGTGGTGTTTGTGAGCAGAAGTGCTACATCACGTAAAAATGTCTTCTTTGTTTGAAAAGCCCGTGTTCCAGATAGGAGATAACATTTGAACATTGAATTCTTACAACAACAGTGTAAAACCTTACCACAAAACTGTAATGCAGTGTTATATATTGTATATAAATATCACTCTGTCTATAATATCACTCAACATATTGACTCTGCAATGAGGGAGAGAGATAATTAATCCCACAGCTTTGCCCCTCGCGTTCCAATTATTGTACATAATAAAAAAAAAAAGTCCCACTAACTTGGACTTAGTGCTCCTCAAAGAGAGACACTGTAGATGAGTTTGTCTTGACGCTCGTCATACTAAAATGACCCATTTCTGAAAAGATGCCTCACTCCCTCAGAGCCCAGAAGAATTCAAGCGAAGACTTTGCAAGGTGAATTAACGGCACCAAGCATATAGACTTATGCCAAGCTAGTAAACCAGAGAAAATAATTTCAGCCTTCATCCAGAAATTAAATGGTTATTGATTGATAAGGAAGATACTGTAACCTTTCAGATTAAATTAAGAAATGTTGCTGAACACAATTAAAATTTTTCTAATGTAATACTGTTTGCAGAGTGCATTTTTGACTAAACTCCATCTCTGAGGTTAATTACCATGTCTTGGGTCCAGGAATAATAGATTAAGTGGAAAGTTGGCTTCAAAGTTAAAGAATGGGAAGAAATAAGAAGTACTCAGAAGTGATTTATGTCTTCCTGATGAATTTGAGGGAGGAGAGCCAAGTAACCACACCACGCTTCTTCTGTGTTAAAGGTTTGCGGCCAAGGGAGTGGTATAAAATTAAAAGGGTGTTCATTCCAGGAGCAGCTCCACATTTTGCTCATAATTTGGAACTATCTCATTCTTGCTAGTTAGGCTGAAGGTAAAACGTCTTATTGAATGTTCTGGAGGCATCCTAGGGCCTATGAGCGGCCTTTATTTCTAAGGAACTCACCACTCTTTAGGGAAGTCAAGAAACAGTTACAACCTCCAACCACAAAATCTGTTTCAAAGTGACAAGAGCTGTGTGATATTTTAGAGAAGCTAAAAAGAGCTGAGGTTTTGTCTTGAATATGTTATTAATTGGCTGGTTTACACGAGCTATCCAGCTTAACCCGCCCCTTCTTTCTCATCTGTCAAATGAAAGAGTTGGGTTAAGTGTTTTCTAAAGTTGCTCTAGTTCTATAATATACGAATAATAAATGTTTTGAAATTAGAAATAGTAAAATGTAAACATGTACCTTTAATTTCAGCTGCCGGGGTCGTGGCTCCCACCCTGCTCACCGGAACTATTCTGGATAGAGACTATGCACTTTTAGGGAATGTGAACAAAACTTCTGTTATGTAAAGCAGGCCTCCAAAAAGAAAAAACCAAGAAAGGGCCCTTTAAAAGTGTAGCTCCCTGTGAAAACAGCAAAGAATATGTACTAAAAAAAGACTAAAAGGCCTTCATGACACATTCAGTGAAGAGATACCCTTATAACTTTTACCCGTTAATTGATGCATAAAAGGTTGTGAAGATTAATGTACATCAAAATCAAAACTAAATTGAATTTTTGACATTTTTGAAAATAAAAACCCCAAAGAATACATAGGTGCCTTTTGATTTGTCACAGCTGGAAGACTCTGAATCATGAAGCGCTCTAGGAGAGGCCATTAAATAGCGTTAGATGGTTTGTCAGTGTGGAGGAAAAGTAATTGAAGAACCAAACTGTGTGTATGGGCACTGCATTTTAAAATATTTACCAAACAGAGATAAAGTGAGTTTTTTTTTCTCCCACAACTAAAGCACAAAATGTTGATCCGGTAGTCCAAAGGAAAATTTCATCACTAAAATCCTTTTTAAAAAATTTGTCAGATGAAATAATCTTTGCTTAAAGATATTTCTCGTCTCTATTTCTAAAAATATATATATATGTATATTGGCCATCTAAACTATTTGTTTTTTGTTGTTTTTTTTTTTTTTTTTTACTTTTCCGAGCAAAGAAAATATTTAAAAGCCAGTAACTAGTCTAGGAGAGAGACATTTGAAAACAGCAATGTGATATGGAATGAGTACAGAAAATAAAACTACCAAAGTTTTTAGTAGTGGTACACTAAGCCTATAAATCTGAAAACAATTTCAGATCCCCTCATTCTGATAATCTGATTTGTTTTTAAAGAAACAACAATGGACTAAACAAGTGCTAGCATATCATTAAGTCAACGAAATTCCCAGTTTTATTCTTTGAAAAATAATACTATATACTGGTAATATTAATAATCAGGTAGGTGTAATTCCTTTTAAGGTAGACCTAAAATGAAAGACGTGTAGATCTATACAAGGTCTATACTGGGACCCAAACACCCAGGCCCAAAAGAGGACCTAATTATAGGGTTCATGTGTCTCTCCATGATCTGACGTGCCCCCTGAAGAGGTCAGTTGCAGCATATGGAAAGCAATTCTGCCATCCAAATGACTGGCTTCATCTGACTCGACTCATAAGAACCTAGAGATATGTTTTTCTCCTTAAATAGGATGGGCTTTTGTTTTGAAAACTGTGCCATTAGTAGTAGACATGGCTGACAAAGACAGTACAGAAAGGGACATGCATTTGATAATTCCCAAAAGCTCTTGTGACTTTCTCCATTGTCTTTATTTATGACGATTACTTTAGCAGTTGGCAAAGCATCCCTGTTCGCAAGATACGCGTGTCAAAAACAAAACAAACCTGATGTTAGAAAACTGACTTCCACGTGGAACAGAAGGCAGAAACAGTTTCTATTCTTAGAAGGACAACAGTACTTTGTTTTAATCAGTTGTGAAGGATCTAAAACTAAAATTCTAAATGAGGTTAATAAATCAAGAAGAGTTAAAATGAAAACAAGTTTCATAATCAGCTTGCAAATAAATACTGCTGCATATTCTATTAAGGCAAGTCCCAGGGCTGAGGCAAGTCAGAACAGATATTTCATAAATACCCACAGTTCAGAGCTTTTAGGTGGAAATGGATCATGAGAAAACATTTTAATAAACAACACCCCTATTCAGTAAGAATGATAATAGCAGCAAGCAATCAAAAACTGTCTAGTAGAAAGCCTCTTCTCCCTAAATGGATTTTTCCTTAATCTCCAGAACAACTGTTTTCAGAATCACCTGCAAATAAGTCTAAGACATCTAGTCATACCCCTTGAAGCCATTCCTATTTTTACTGAGCATAAAGTCTTTACTTAACATTCCAACTCTTGCAATTAAAACCCTGAGCCGAGGTTTCTCTGAGGAGTCTATACCTTATGCCTAATGTTGACCATATTTAGGAGAATGGACAGTCTGAAATGAACCTCTCTACACACTTTAGTAAAGATTTCCAGTTTCTCCTTTGGGTAGGCAGGTGACCGAGTTAAAAAATTCATGATAATAATGACTTCAGGGGATGCTGATTAACTACATTTTGAATACACCTTGTCGGAAATTCAGAAAATTTTGTCTCTTGTAAACGCTGGTCGGGAGGTCAGTGTAAGGCAGTGCTGGAAGGAAACTCACAGGCCAAAAATGAAGTCAGCCGCTTATATTAAGAGCCCCACGTCACCAAACCAAGACTTGATGCCTAACCTAACTGTAGTCTCAGCCCCTGCCTCAGGAATGTAACCTTGCACCAGGAGACCTGGAATTTCCTGGCCGGCACTAGGAAACTTACTGCTAGACCCTTTCCATTCCCCGTGGAAGGGCCACCTCACCGAAAATAACACGTTCCTTGCTAATACTGTCTTTTTTTTTTGCATTCCCTCTCTACCTTTAAAACTTTTCCATTTCTAAGCCTTGACAAAGCTCCTTTCCATTTGCTAGATGGGATGCTTCCTGCTTCATGAATTGTTTAATAAAGCCAATTAGATCTTCAATACTCCATTGAATTGTGTTGTTTATGAGTAGTGGTTGCAGCTACTGAAAGAAATTTTAAAAATTGAAAAAAGTTGAGCCTAAAACTCTCAATCGTGGTTCTTCCATTTGGGGAAAAAGAGAAAACTTATGTAAAAGACGATGAACTAACGCTAAGAGTCACCAGTCAGGAGAGACGCAGAAGACAGGGAGCTAATCAACTTTACTAAGCCCTGCATTCTTCTGAGTAATACA